AACACCTGATCCTTAATAGTCACCTACTTCAAGGCTTCAGGCCCCTGAGACAAGGGCCAGTTTTCCCTGCAGTTCCCCAGTCTCGGGACTTCCCCTACTGAGGGATGACCCGAACCAAGCTGTAGGCCTCAACATCTAGCACATTAGGCTTGCAGCAACTTTTTAGGCACCCAATTCTTTGTATCAGTGGTGGGAAACCTATGGCAGGAGTGTTGTTTTCCTTTGAAGAAAAAAGATGTTAATGTATAATCATTTTTTTCTAAACTAAAACCTCAATATTCAGATTTAATTGCAGTGTTGACAATAAATAAGTGATTTTTATGTTACAATTTAGCACTCAGTCTCTAAAAGGTTCACGGTCACTGATGTATATCAGTATTTTTTTTTTTTTTTTGTGGAACCAGGGATTGAACTCAGGCCTTTGCACTTACCAGGGAAGTGCTTATCCCACTGAGCTATCTCCCTGCCCCCCAAAGTCCTTTCAAATGCAGATAGCTAAGCGATTTCTCCTGCCTTGAACTTGAACAATATAGGCTCTGAAAAGCCCTTCAACATCACCTGTCCAGTAGGAATTTTCCTGAGTGCCTTTCCAGCCCAACCGCACTAGTCAGCAATATTGTGCTTTTTTCTCTTATATAGATGGCAAAATTTCATTGAGTTGCTTAGCAAAGCTTCTTTGGACCTATTTTCTGGCTTACCTACAGGCAAGTACCTTTACTGCTCTTGAGAGGTCTCCTATTTCCAGGTACAACTGCTAACTGCATTGCTTAACAAGACTAGGTTCTTGGGTTTTGATTCATTCTCCCAGAAATGCATGTGATCACTCTAAAGAAAAGAGGAGGGCTGATGAGATGGCTCAGTGGTCTGGAGCACCTACTTGGAACAAGCTTGGCAAAGCACAGGGACCGCGGTTCAATCCCCCAGCACCGCATGCCAGCCAGCCCCGCCCCCAGGTGGGCTGAGCTGGCCACACACACATACACACACATAATAATAATAATAAAATTTAAAAAAAAAAAACCTGCTTCAGTTTCCATCAATAAAGTAAGTCTGCTTTACAAAAAAAAGAAAAAGAAAAAAAGAAAAGAGGAGTGAGAATTGCCTTAAGCTTATTTCTTAAGGTCATTTGGGTGATGAAAAGCATAATTCTCCAACTTTTATTCCATTCCAGGCATTCCCAAAGAAAGGTAGCCCTTGAAGATGAATGCAGCACACTTATTAAATACGTTTGTGCTGTTTATCAGAATCAAGGATGCACAGTCCCTAATGTAGAATTCTGAAGTTAGATATTTAATCTACCAATATCATACCAAAAAATATCCAAAATGTATATGCATGTATGTGTGTATATATATATATATATATATATATATATATCTGTGTTTGATGCAACATTTTTGTAATTTTATGTTTTTTATTTTTTTATATTTTAGGAAAGTGTCTGCAGGGTGTTCAGGGTCTCACTATTAGATCAGACTCTTCGTGATCCTCCTATTTACAGCCTCCCAAGAGCTGGGATTATAGGTGAGCACCACCATGCCCAGTGTCAATTGCTGTCTCAGCATGCCCCAGGGGCAGGGCAAGCAGGGCAGGCCCAGGGATCGAACCCCCCGGCCCCTCTGCCTGCTTGCAGGGACTTTAATCTGCTGAGCTATTTGGCTGGCCCCTGTAAATTTTTTTAAAAAATAAAAACAATAGGCACCAGCCAGATAGCTCAGTGGACTAAAGCACCTGCTTAGGCAATTGCAGGGCCCACGGTTCAATCCTTGATGTGCCAGCCCCACCCCCAGGGCAAATTGAGACTGGGTGTGATGGCACAGCCCTGCAGCATTTGGGAGACTGAAATCAGAAGGATCACTATCAGTCTGATCTGTGTAGTGAGACCCTGTAGACACTGTACTAAATACAGAAAAAAATAAAATAAAATAAAAACAATAAGAATACCCTTCAGGGACCATTTAATTAAATTACAGTACAACCAATTGATTAAACTATGCAGTACTACAATAACATGACTGGGCTGCAACAGGAAGATTTCTAAAATATATAATTAAGTGAAATTATAAAGATGAATTCAATGTAAGTATTTGCCATTTAGCAAGTTTTACATGTCTGATGAATAAATTTGATCTGATTGAGTAATTTCTTTACTGTATCCATCAGTTACTTACTGATTTACCTGCTGAATCAAAATATAGCATACTGAAAATATAAGTGTATATGCATGTGTGAGTTGGGGATGGTGGAATCAGTCTATATACAAATTGACACTAAGAAACCTCACTAGACATTTCAAGTGAGGGGGTTCACTATAAACGAGTGATATTAAGTATTAAAAGGCTGAAGAAATAAAAGAAATGGAGAAAGCATTTGATTTTGAGGGCTTCTGTAACAAATCACCACAATCTTAGTGGTTTACAACAACAAAAACCTTTCTGGCGGGGTTCTGAAGGCTAGGAGATTGGATGAAGGTGTGTCTGGATCATGTCCCCTCTGGGACTCTAAGAATGAGCACTTGCTTGCCTCGTCACGTGCCCAGCAGCCAGACCTCTCCTGCTTGGGCTCCATTGCTGCAGTCTCTGTGTGAACTTCTTTCATGTCTCTTGCATGTCTCTGCATCCAAATCCCTTCTTTTCACCTTTACAAAGACACTAGTCATAGGCTTTGGGGTTGCACTAGTCTCTAATGATCTCAGTCTTAACTTGATTACATCTGCAGACACTATTTCTAATAAGGGCAAACTCATAAGCACAGGAAAAAGGACTTAAAGATGTCTTTTGGGGGACATAATTCAATCCACACTAGTGGGATGATTCAGACCTCAGTATCTGTAGAAAATAGCAACTATTAGGGTGAAAGAAGGCACATTTCAGGAAAAGGTGAGGTTCATCAGCATCTAGGGCCAGTGCACTGCAAAGCTGGATCTACGATCCCTGGAGAAAGCCAAGTAACTGGGGGAGGATGGAGAGGAGCTGCAGCATGTCTGGTGCTGAGAGGGCCCCTGGTTTGGAGCTCATCCCTCTCAGACTGTGGCTGTGCTTGGATGTCCCACTGAGTACCACATGGACCTTGATAGGATGGCTCAAGGAAAGCCCCATGATTGTCCACCCAGTTTCTAAGGCTTAGCATGGGGCTAATGCTGAGACCTGGGAAGCGTGCTGGATAGAGGCTTTCTGTGTCAGTCTGTGTCCAGATTTCCTCTTCTTATAGGACACCAGTTAGATTGGATGGGAACTTTCCCTAATAACTTATTTTAGCTTAATCATTTCTTTTAAAAGTTATGTTCCCCAAATAAGCCATATCTTGGGGTACTAGGAATTAGGGTTAGGAAGGTACCATTCAATTTATAGCATAAGCAGGAGAGAGAGAGAGAGAGAGAATAAAATCCTGTTCTGTTGATCTCACAGGGTATCCATGAATCTGGAAAAAAAGTCTCTTTTTTTTGTCAATAGCTTACTCTCCAGAATAATGTGGTTGTCAGGGTCTTTTTGTTGCTATAGTATATGACAGGTGCTCACTGAGAACTAATGCTTAAGTCTTTGCATTAGTCTATTGTTGTGTCTGTGTTGATTAAGTGTTCCTAAGTACAGAGTGAGCCTGAGCTGTTTTATTAGACTATTCTATGGATCCATAGACAAAGTATGCAAAAGTAGATGGCGACTTATACAGAAAATAAAATTACTCATAATAAATGTGTAGAATTTTGAGTTTTTTCATTCCTGGGATCATTTTGACTCAAAGGTATTGATAAACTGGTTAAATTTATTCATTTTCTGTGGTGTGCCTCTTATTGTAAACTTTATGCCATTTGGAATGATAAAAATCTTATGAATGTGTTCTTTAATGTATATATTGTCTTTACATAAATAGTATCTGTGATTTGTACCAGTGAAAATAACAAATTAGTTCACATTTGACTGCAACTTTTGGCAGCAATAGCTAGAAGACCAGTGAAATACAAAAGAACGGGTCTGGCTCTACTCTAGAATTCAAATTAAACCATCAAAAGAAAGAAGCTTTCTTTGGAAGAAGATAACATAATACAACTCTGGAATTTTCATATGAAACTTCCAGGTTCTATAAAATATTATCAGGAATGATATAGAAAGGACATAGATTTTTAAAATAATTGTTATCAATATATTCAAGAAAATGAATGACAAAATAGAGAAAGTTCAGCCAAGAATTTGAATCTGTCTTTAAATGGTAAAGATAGAGTATCTAGATAGAAAACACAAAAACTAAATTTAGCTCAATGGTGGGTTTAAGAAAATATTGGACATAGTTGAAAAGAGTATTAGTAGACTGAGGTATTGTTCAGTAGAAAATACCGTATTGAATCACTGATGATAAATAAAGATGAAATATACTCCAAGAAGTATATGAGACATATAGAAGATGGTGAAAATATCTAACATATGGGAGAAAAGTCTAAGAAGGGTGGAGGAAGAAAACTGAGTAACAGAGGAACAGAGAAAGAAGAAAAGTGAAGTTGAATAATGGATAGAGGAAGAGAAGTCAAAGAAGGATTACGAAAAGAAGTTGCTGATGTATGGAGAAAGAAGAGAAATAAAGAAATATTAGAAGAAATTAAGAGAAATTCCAAAACTGATGAAAGATTTAAAGCCACAGATACAATAAATACTCTGAACTCCACCAAGACATATAATGGTGAGCATGGGCCCCTACAATCTTGTGCAATCGAAGGTCTGAATTCATATTTTGCAGAAATAAAGAATGATTCCACACGGGAATCTCCTATTGTGGAGACTGTGAATGAGGCAGAGGAGGAAGGAAAGGCAGAAAGCAAGGGACAAAGCTGTGTCATGTCTGCAGATGGAGAATTTGGAGGGAATGGAAAGTACCCTCAAAGGCTTTTGATGCCCTTCAAAACATTTTGTCACTATAAAACACACAGAAAAGTAATGAAGAGTTGGCCTCTCTTTTACTAAGGAAAAATATCCATACTAATTCTTAGTTAGAATTACTTATACTAAAGGGACAGTAATGCCAACTCAGTTGATTTAGACAACAAAGAGAATTTAGTTTATTTGAAAAGTCTGGCAACAGCAAGGGGTATAAACAGTGTTTGATCTAGCTATTTAAATGCCAAAATCAAGATGTGCTTTTGTCCTGGCTCTCGGCTCTGCCTTACTGCCATCAGCATCATCACCAGGCTTTGAGTGACATCTCCTCACTATTCCAGGCCTTCTGGCTACAATAGTAAAGCAGCTAAGGTAGCATAATTGTCACATCTGCATGGCACGCCTATGGAAGATCTTGCCAATAAAAAGAGAATTTTACAACATGACTAACAAACATCTCCTCTCCTATAAAAGGCTCAAGTTAAGTATGATGCCCATCTTTGAAGCAAGATTGTTACTGGGATACCAAGACAGATTGAAGCAGAGACCAGGCTTGGAGCTTGAATTGGAGATCCGCACTGCCAAATCAGAGTCCTTGGATGAGGGAAAGGTGCTCACAAAGCAAATGGTGGCTGCTGTCACCAAAAGGAAGGGTGAAGGGAGAACACTTGGGGATCAATGAACACTGGGCAGCCAGCAAATAGAAGTACACCTCAGTCCCTTGGCCTGGCAGTGAGAGCTCAACTTAGGACATTCTTGGTCTCATGCTCCACACCCACAGGCCTCTCTCTTCCAATGTTGCCTAAAAGAACTAGGCACCCTGCTCTGGGCTGTGACTTTTTCTCTAATGCTTCCCCAAGGATTATCACGGCTTGGTCCTTGCTTCTCCTTTGCTCAGGGCTCTACTTGGCTGTCCCTTCTTCAGAGACTTTGGGGGAATTTCCTGTTGACTCCTAAACATTGGTCAGTTTTAATGCTTCCCAGTGGATCTAACATGCAGCCAGTACTGAGGACCACAGATTTTAGTCATTAGTGGGGGAAAACTGGAGGGCTGGTTCCTAGCTACCAGAATTCACTGAAAGTTCTGTAAAACCTGGCCTTTCCCACACCTGGAAATCTCTAGAGCCAGCTTGGCTTATTGCCTCAAGTATAAATCTCCAACTGGCAGACCAGACAGATGGTTGTTATTTATCCTTCCTGCTGTGTTAGAAGGAGAAAAAGGAGCTCTGCCTCAGGTCTTCCAAGCAGTGTTTACATGTGCAAAGCGTTACCTTTTAATAGGCTGGTAGCTGTTGGGAAGGAGAAGAGAGCCTTAAACCAAGTAAAGCAGCATGTATTTTTCTCCTAATGGACTTTGATAAATACAGAGAATAAAAATTCTCTGGACCAGGACGAGGCCTACATCTAGATCTTATTCTCAAAAGAGAAATTCACTGACCAGTGCCCAGGGAAATTCCTGACTTATTGCAATTAATATTTGGTCTTCTCCAGGGAAACTGGATTTGTTTAAGGTCTTACAGTAGCACAGCACCAAATAATACCATGAAATGAGAATCTTCCCTATATTAGCTTTTTTATAAATAAGTTTATGTCACTGGATTGCTGAAGATTGATGTAATTTTACAAAGGAAAATTTGATCTGAAAACTTATATACCAGTACAGGGAAGAACCAAGGTTGGCATTCAGGTCAGTCTGACATGAAGTTCATATTCCTGACCTTTTGTCACTTGTAGCTTCTAGAAGGTTTTTGACTCTTCATTTCTAGTTTAAAGCCATTTGAACCTTTCCCCTGCAATAAACAGAAAGCTAATCTGTCTTATATTAGATGAAATGGTCAGGAACCAGGGCAGATTAGTAGTGACATATTTCCATGACAAATTTTCAACACATCAAAGAAGACTGATCTGGAAGCACCCATTAAGCTTGCCTGTAAGATGCAGAAAGACAAAGAAATGCAGAGAAAAATTTCTCTTCTCCAAGTACTAGGAAGCAAAGTAGAGAAATGACATGCATACTTAGTGATTATTTTCCAAATTCCAAATAAACAAGGACACAAGTCATTTTTTTCAGCAAGAATGTGTTGAGTGCTCATTCTGGTGCTGGGTGTGGAGTTTCAAAGAAGAATGTAAAATCACACTGTCTTCTCCATCAAGAAACTGAGGGAAGAGATTCATAAAGATTCACAGGTTTGGGGACTGGGGAAATAGCTCAGTGGCATAAGCACTTGCCTGGCAAGCACAAGGTCCTGTGCTTGATTCCTGGTACCGAACAAACAAAAAAACAAATTGTATGTACTCTGTATGCATACAAACTCTTTAAAGGCCAGTCTACTAGCTCAGTGTATTAAAGTGCCTGTAAGCAGGTGCAGGGGTGGAGGGTTTGATCCCTGGACCTGCTGTGCCAGCCCCGCCCCCAGGGCATGCCAAGCAGGTGATTGAGACTGGGTGTGGTGGTGCACGCCTGTAATCCCAGCTCTTGGGAGGCTGTAAACAGGAGAATCACTATGAGTTGGATCTAGTAGTGAGACCCTGAACACCCTGTAGAGCCTTCCTTACAATACAGAAAAATAAATAAATTAATTAATTAAAATAAATAAATAAATAAAAATTAAAGAAAGATTCGCAGGTCCATTGCTAAAACTGTAACTGAGTGCTTTTATACCTGGCATGAGAACATATGCAAACACCCTCGCTTACACAACACTGTTACTTAGCATTTATTAGACACTTACTGTGTTCCAGACATTTCCTTTATACTGACTCTTCTAAGGAGAACCTTATTTCCATTTTCTGAAAGAAAAAAATAGGCACAGTTGGATAACTTGCCCAAGAACACTCAGCAGACAGAGTAGCCTGGATTCAAATCCAAGCTATCTGGCCTCAGGGCCTATTGCCTGTGTTACACTGCTTCCTCCTATGGTTTGATTTTATTTATTGAATTTCTGTCTCTCTCTTTTTTTTTTTTTTTTTTTTTTTGGTAACTTGGTAAGGGTCTATAGGGTCTCACTATGTACATCAGACTCTCAATGATCTGCCTGTGTTCAGCCTCCCAAGAGCTGAGATTACAGGCATGCACCATCACTCCCAGTCTCAGATATAGTCTCAGCATGCCCTGAGGACAGGGCTGGCAGGCAGGCTGGGGATCAAACACTGACCCCTGCATCTGCATAAGCAGACGCTTTAATCTGTTGAGCTATTTGGCTGGCCTGATTTCATTGAATCTTTTAAACTGGAGCACTAAGAACCATTGCAGAAATATATATGCATTTATTAATAATGTATTTGCATTATGCAGCAAAATATTTAAGCTGATGATTCCAGAAGTCAATGCTTCATGGTCATTAAATGGATTTGCAACATATATAGGAAAATCAAAACTATGATGAATGCTAAAATTTACAGTTTTTGAGACTGGGCGTGGTGGTGTGTGTCTGTAATCCCAACTTTTGTGATGCTGTAAACAGGTGGATCACTATGAGTCCAACCTAGCAGTACGATCCTGAACATCCTGTAGACTCTTCCCTAAAATAAAAGACACATTTCCGTTAATCTCCCTTAATTCAGATAATTTATCCCATCCTTCTTGCCACTTTCTGCAGCAGTTCTGGGGTCCTCTTTCCTCAATGTCTTTCCAAGGTGTGGCTCAACAGAAAGGTAGGATGTAAAATTGTGGTTGTGTGTCCTCATCCACTTCATTCACCAGATTTGTCATGTGACTTTGACTCTGCCCCAAAGTCAGAATGACTATGACAGGGGAACCTTTTGAGTCTGTTCAGGACCTGGAGGCAGCCACAACAGCACAAGTAAAGACACTCAGGAAAGAGGACTCTAGAGCTGCTACAGAAGGTGCCCAGGATGGTGGGATGCATGTGCTAGGAGTGAAGAGAAGCATCTGAAGGACATTAAGAGCAGTTTACTTTCCTATAGTAAAATTCTTTAAGTTTAAGCGATCACTGTGTCTTTGATCATACTTCATAAATAAGTCCCTGTGTCAGAGGGAAGGGCTGACGAAAAGGAAGGCTGTCCCAGTGAATGTGGAAGATGCACAGGAGGGTGCACAGGTCTCCCTGCATGGAAGGAAACCTGTCCCATTCACAAGGGCTGGAGCCTCAGCCAGTCACTCCATGACAGCAACACGTCCTGGGTGTGCTGCTGTTCTCACCGCTGCCCCAGAAGGGCTTCCAGTCTCAGCTCCTGTGTAAGGCAGAATACCCCTGGCCTGCTTAGAGGCAGGGCCTGGAGACATCTTCCCTCCCCTGGAGCTGTGCAGACCCAGCTTGCCCAGGACCTGCTGCAGGCTCTAGCCTCAGCTCTCTGGAGCTCTCCTCATTGCTCGGACCTCCAGATTCGTCCATGACATGCTCCACTCTTGCCCCTGCCTCCACATAAATTTAAATGCTTTCTTCTGTCTACATATTTTGCTGTAGTGGCCTTGTGGTAGCTCATAATTTAAGAAGTTTGTTAATGGGCATCTGCTCCTTGGTATGAGGCCCAAAGGGAGGAACAGGCTTCTATTAATTGATGTGTCCCTGTCAATGTGTTGTTGTTAAATGAAGGCACCAAGCTAAACCCTTCCATATCTTCTTTCCTGTGTAGGGAAGAGTGAAAAAGAAGTCTCTGCCTCTCCAGGGGAGCCTGAAGTCTCTGAGGTATCTCAAAACCCGACTGAGCCTGTGCTGCATGCAGAGTGTGGGAGGGCACCTAAGGCCTAGAGGTCTCCTCTCCTGGTGGGTGCTGGGAGTCTCCACCTTGCCCTGATGCAGAGGAGAGGGGGAAGCCTAGAGTGCCAGCTTCCATTCTAGCACTCTGCCACTTGGTGAGGGGTGTGCCTCTGCC